ATGACCTGCTCTCCCACACGTGCCCAGTCAACGCCCTTTGTATTTACATACTCATCTCCCCCTGACATCAGCAAAAGTCATGCAGAAAAGCCACAGGCAAAAATTGCCAAGTTTTACTCTCAGAACCAGACATGCACCGTATGTTTGCATATATATATATATATATATGTACTCAGGTAAAAGGTGACTTCATATTTCCTAAAATGATCAAGTGCCTTACTTAAAAATCCTTTAAAATATGTAATTATTTAACATAATGCTCAAACCCACTCTGCAAAATCTTCAGACATGTTACTTTTACCATAACTTTCTAACACACTTATCATTGATCTATCCTTCTTGAAAGAAGCAATTTGCTATTTTTGTTAATGACTAAAAGCACGTTAGATGCTATGCAACTCCAAAAGTCTACCAGCACTTAAATAACCCAGTACTGGGTGAGTATTGATTATGCATATACTCAGATGGACTACTTTCTTGATTAAATTTAAACAAACATATTGATCCAAAAAGATGAAAACCTTATTATTCAGAGAAGAATGAAAGTAACTTTTGACAGTATTCTATTACCTACAGATGATTTTATATTATTTCAGCTAAATCATCCTGTCTTTAAAAATTTACTTCCCTTTTATCCTGTATATTTTCTGTCTCATAGCATCAAAATACAAAGATAGCAATCTCTATACATACAATCTAAGCACTTCTTATGACCAATACTTACCCTAACAGAATACTGGTTTACACTATTTTATCAAAATTATAGATTAAAAATTTCACTAGGAAATACATTTTTTGGAAGTACAAGAGCATTTCTAATCCCACATCTTCACTGCTAAATGAATGTCCGTTCAATTATATTTGAATTAGTAAAGCATAACATGAAGAAAAGTAAAATCTTAACAATATCAGAACATTCTGTACTACTTAATTGTGTAATTTCTGAAGTGCTTGTTCATAATTCATTAATTGTGTGATTTCTGAAGTGCTTGTTCATTAATTTGAGCAAAAGCAAGCAAGAAAATGTTCTTTCTTAACTGAAAACTCTGGAATTAAACTAAGAGAGAAGGGTAAGGAAAAGGGTATGGTTTTTGACAGAGTAGATGCCAGCTGGAAGTCCACAGAAAGCCAGTGCTACAAAATGACAAAAGATACCCAGAGCATTATACTCAGATATTATGTGTGCTTCCCTGGAGAAGCTGAAGGCATGAAAGGGTTTGTGCAATGTTTTGTTATAAAAAGTAAAATCCAAGAGGAAAAAAAGGTTCCCTTCATATTAAGTACTCAACAAAATATTTTAGTTTTAATCAAAGAAAAGCATACATTCTCTTCTGGTCAGATTTTTCTGCTTTCACAGGACACAGAAATTACTATATATTCTGCAGGGCTGTATTCATTAAAGTCCCACATCAACTCAATGTCAGTTTAAAGCACTGGTTTTTTAGCTTGGTAGTACTTTATACCCCTTTTAAAAGGCTCCAGATGACCAAAGACAACACAGGAAACCTTTCCTACAGCCTATGGATTCTACTCATAAGGAAATAAAGTCTATAGACTTTCTATATTAATAGCACTCTACTGTGCACAAAATTGCAAACCTGCAATAAAACTAATGATAGGAATCTTGTTCAATATGCAGCAAATGGGGATAGTGACAGAGGTTCCAGCCAGGCCAGGATCATGCTGCTCTGTGTTGCAGGAAAGGATTCATGAGAAGTTGCATGGAACCTTTCTATTTTTATCTTTATTATTTATATCTTTACTGGGGTTTAGGTTGCACCAGACCCAACGTGAGCTCCAGCTTCATCGTATGATTCTTTCAGACAAAAAGAAACAGGGACACACAGGGAAAGGCAGGGTATGTGCCCAGCCTCAGTGTAAAGTCCTTCATGGATGAGGTTAAGTCACTTCTGGTAGTAGTTCTATAAACTAGGTAACTGCCCTGCAGTCTATTAGCTTCATATTTCAAAATTTTAAGATCCATTTTTAGTGGCATATCCAGCTTCACATGTACATAAATACGCATGAGAATAAGAACATTTTAAAATTGGTCTTCCCTCCAATAGCTTCTCTAATCTACACTAATCACAACAGTATTCTTTTGTGACTGATGGATCAATTGATTATTCTTCTTTTAAATGCATGTAATACTTAAAGTAAACTATATAAAAATATTGGAACCTACCAAACAAATGCCACTATGTACCCACATCAATTCCACCCACTCAATTCCTTAAGACTGGAAACCAACTATTTAGAAAGCTAGCAGGAACTGGAAGGAAACAATTTTTTTCTCCAACAATAAAGACCACATGTTGACACATAGCTATTGAAGCTCTCTTTCATAATAAAAACATATATTATTAAACCTACAGAGAGATGTACACAGCCGGATCTTCACAATATTACAAAGTCCATGTCAAATCTGCCTGGGATCCACATGCATGTATTTATTTATAATGTCTCCACAGTGTGTTAAGTGCAATGCTAATGAGATCAATGCAAAAGAGATTTTAGATCTAGGTACCCATAATTAAATTTTGCAAACAATATTTGACTGTAAATTTGCAAAACTAACTGGTCAGTAATATGTTAAATGTCAAGGCTCTGTTGAAAAATGTATATCCATTGATACACACTTCTTGCAAACTTGTAATTTCAATGCATTGTTGTCCAGGGAGGGATAGTATCCACACCGCCCAATATAACATTGCAATTTAGAAAAAATATATTTTTAAAACACAACCAAAAAAAAAAAAAAAGCCTTTCTTAAAAATACCCTAAAGTCAAAAGTATGGAAATCTAATTCTTTATAAACAGCATGGGAGCTACTTCAAAAAGTTATGTGCATTCCTCTGTAAGAAAGGAAGCAGGAAGGAAAAAAAAGGATCCATAATAAAAAGAAAAAATAACTCCACTATATTCCCCAAATACAAAAGGTTAGTGGAATTGAAGCGTTATTCTTGAGAGAATGGAAATTCACTCCAAGTGGAACCAGAAGGGAGAAAGTGTATGACAGGTGAAATATAAGTTGGATATTAGGAAGGCAAAAAGGAAATAAGAAGACTAGATAGCATAGGATACAAAACCAAATAACAATAAAGCCTATTAGTTCATCTGAATCAGGAAACTTTCAAGGGAATCACTGATTTTACTAGAGCTGGGATTGAATAGAGCACTTGAAGACGACAAGGGCATTGCAAACAATCCAAATTATTTTTCACCAGCCCTTGCCATGGAAGATGTTGGAAAAACGCATACCTGACTTTTCTGATAAAGAGACTAACACTTCTTCAAACTGAAAAATCAAGAAGGGGTGAGGAAACACAATAAATTGAAAGCAATAAATGATGAGGGATGAGCTCCTGTCCTGCTCGCATCGACAGGTGTTTTACCATTGATTTTAGCACTGACAGTCCTTTACTTCACAACTGAACGGCAACAGTTTCAATATATGAAAAGGCTGAGCTGGGCATGGCAGTGGAGTGGTCGGTGTGCAGCACTGGTCAAAGGAGCAAGCAAAACAGTAGAATACAAAAAAAAAGAGACAGAGACTATATTTTTAGTCAATACCTATCTTTTCTGGAATATCTATTCAGCTTAGGGTTCCTGCTCTAAACCAATGACAGTGGGACATGACAAGAGTTTGAGAACCATATAAAATTATTATTATGGAAGAAAATTTAAAAAGGTGAAAAGAACTAGGAAGTTAACTTAGCAAAGAGATGAATAAGAGGGGACACTGCAGAGCTGCAAGGAATACTATGAGATACAGGTAAACAGGATACTCTTCAACTTTCTCACACTAGTAAAGACAAGGGCAAATCAGGGCAATAAAAAATTACTAAGTCAAAAATAAAAGGACTGAAACATTTTCCTGCATAAACCACAAAATTGTGTAATTACTTCACAAAGAAATCTCCATGATAATGCCAAGGAATCTCCCTTTGCTATTGCTTTTTGCCCTTGTTCACAGCCATATAAAGGAATTAGTGACACAGCAATAAATAAAAATTTTCAGAACAACTCCTTTAAGAGAACATGCTTTCCCTTTCCTCTTGCCCTAATGCACAAAACTTTTCAGACTGGATACATGCCAGGGGAGAAAAGGGAGGTAACATGAGGTATGGAGTATGGTTGCGGCAAGGATGAGGACAGCTAGAAAAGATGTTTCAAGCACATGCTCAGATTGCAGTGTGCTGTACCCTAAGTGGTTGATGGCTCAGAAATCTGCCAGCTGCTGGCACTGGATATATTGAGTCCCAATCTAGAATTAAGACAGAAGCACTAAACTATCAATGTGTGAAATTTGTGACTTAAATTACAAGGCAGGGCCATCCAAGGAGTCTCTTGCATAATTCATGACACTTCAGAACTTCATATACAAATGAAATAGAAGGAAAGTCTATCATTTCTGCTCTGTCGAGCACAGATCCACACACAACTTTGGTAATGGCTGCACAAACAAGCTCTCTAGAAAATACAGTATTACAGACATGCTCTTCACAATACCCATTCACACAGTTCTGCAAGTCATTTCAATGCGGTATCACTCAATGAACCCTTCTATGAAAAACTACTCGGAGGTGTCAAAAATACAGAGGTTATTAAAAATAAGAAAATGAGTCTGTTTTTTTTTTTTTCCCAAATGAATGCTTACAAACACTCTTCAGCAATGTTTTTCTAGATTTGACTTAGTCAAACTTTATTATATAATTAGTGGGCTTGCTATTAATCATTTTGTCTGTCTAATACTGTAGAAAAAGAAACCAGAGATTCTACAAAGCTCCCACTCGTACTAAAAGGCTCCAAAAGCAGTGAAATTATATTCTCCAAGTTCAGTGATAAACTTTGACAGACTTTCAACCTTGAAATGGTGAGCAATCTGAACACAAATAAAGTGCAAAACTAGTAAGTGTAACATAACAATAAATGTTTTTAATAAATACACATGTAACTTGAAATATACTGCGTTAGAAATAGCTGAAACCTTGACTTACTGTGGCTGTGCCGGAGACAGTTTGTGCATTTGTGTCAGCTGCACTCTGTTCAGAGTGTGTCTGAGCAGGAGGGTACATGTTTAACGTGTGCTCTGGAACAGTGGTTTGGCCTGTGTAGTCTGGAGCTGGATGAGGATGTGGGGCTGTGTATTCTGCAGGGATACCATTCTGAGGTGGAGCAAACTGGGCTGAGGCATAAGGCTGTGCCATTGTGTCAGGAGGTGCTGTAGCTTCCTGATTACCCTGTAAAAATCAAAGGGAAAAAAAAAAGAAGAAACGTAGTGTAAGAGAAAATAAGTGCTGATGGCGCACACGTTAACACAGAAAGCGATGATCGTATTCTGCTAAGATTGCTGGCCTGAAAAGGGCACCATGTTTGTTTCTTGAAGAGAAAATTTCTTATCTGAATTAAATACATTTTGCTAACCGTATTAAATCTTTCTATAATTAGACATACAAATCTGCTGTTCTCTGAATAATTGTAGACTATTCTTTAACAGAAAGGTCAGAGAAATCTACCTGAACTAATGCCTCAACTCAGACAATGAAGGAGGACAAAACTCAGTTTATTCTAAAGGCTGCTGAGCACAACTGCCAGTACAGAGCTCAGATAAGGTTAGTCGATGGTCTGGGGCCCAGGATGATTTACCATTTGCAGAACACAATATATGCAACCTACACACAGCAGGATTTGGGTGCATGCTGTTATCATAACCGTATACTGAAAATATTTATATGGAATAATGCTCTATGAGGTTTTCAGAACTACTTTGAAGTACATTATTCTATTTGTCACATGACAAATAAAAAAAAAAAAAAAGAGATCCAATCAAAATATTAAACATTTGACTCTAAAAATGCATCAGTTCAAAATCTTAACATAAAAGAAAAATTCTATGTTGCAAAAGAAAAAGGTTAAAGAACTTTAAAGGCTTTAAATTTGAAGACAACAGTATTTCATTCCCATATTACAATTAAAAACAAATGTCCTCACCTCCTTTAAGATAGATCCACCTTTATATTTGATATAATAAAGGATAGTCGAACATGTTAATTTATCAAATAGAGAATTCTGACTAAATGCTTTGCTTATACCAAATAGTAATAATCCCAGGGGAGGAAATATGCAGAACCATCTTTCAGAACCTATGATGCTGCAGATGACACAGCATCAGAGGCCATTTTTACAGGGACTATCCCAAACTCAGATGAGCTGATTTACAAGATAAAGTTATCCCTCAAAATATCAAGTAGTATAAAAATGAGTACTCGAGTAAGACTTTAATTAGTTTTTAAAATACTCTGTCAATTTCAAAATAGGCTGGATGAATAGAAGACATTCTTTTACACTTCATACTTAAGGACATCTCCAGCCTATTTCAATTAATTCAGAGATCGGTTCTCTGACCTGAAGTGTTCCTAAACTCAAGAGCTTTTAAGAATTTGCAAAATTACAGCACAGGAACAAGGCTTGCAACATGTCAAGCTTAGAAGGGAAAACTAATTATTCCTTTGTAAAAGGCATACAGTGTGTCCTAAAAAGTTAAAATTTTATATCAGCAATCAAACCCTCCCTAATTTTAATCCCATCTTTGCTACTATTTTCGTGTATGGCCTTGAGAAAGTAGTTTACATTGCTTCATTCAACCATCAAATGAAAACAGTGACATTTACCTACTTCACGGGGTTAAGTCAGTAAGTTTCATTTGCATACATCTACAATCATTCCAAGGTTATTGCTGCACTGAAACTTGCCCTGTTTAAATTTCAGTGGAGGTTAAAAACTCTTGTAAATGTATACTTATACCCTCATATTAAAATGGCAAGGTTCCTTTCTTATTTCTTTTACCTAATATTTTCACTATTGAAAAAAATAAACCCAGATGAAGTGAAAACCAGTGATGACTGGATTACACAAGAGACATTTATTAAATGTTAAATAAGTATTTTTAAACCTTGTGGGGGAGGCAGGGGCCCTTAAATTTTTTAAGTAACTGTTTCAGGAAGGACTTCAGCAAGTGGCAAGAACGAAAAACAGCAAATCAAACTTCTGCCTATATCAGCATTTTCACTGTGCTGCCTTTGAAACACAGTAGCTGGTTACTGATGGTCCTTGAGCTATTCCTTCATGTCAGATGCTAAACATGGCATTAGAGTCAGCAGCTGTTAAAAAAGAACAATAATGGCAACAAAGGGACCAAGGGCTAATGTCCAGGTGCATTTGATCTAAAGGTTTTGTACTACCTCGAGTCCTAAACCAGATGTTGCTGAGACCCCGACTGTTTCTCATTAACATGACAGCAGTTCCATGAGACTCTAATTAATATTCAAAGCATTCACACTTAATGCTAATTACAGCTAATATTTAATTAAGAGGGTTGAACTTTTATATTATTTTTACCAGCAACTTCAAATGATTCACTTCTTAGATTTACCATAAAATGGCAAACTGCACTGGCAAGCCCAGCACCTCCATGTAGCTGAGCCTCTGCTACCTCTCTCACTAGACCTGTGAAGCTGAGGTCTGGATCACTTCTTTAGAACCAAGAATCCATTAGGAAGTAAACAACTAAGGGTCAGGGATTTGTTTTCTTAAAATAGGTGCCTATTGTAGTCTTTCCTAGCCTTTAAAATTAGTGTGAATTTATGATTCACAATTAGTTCAATAGACACAGTATTACAATGCAGTATGAAAGCATGTAGGTATAAACATAGTCTTTACTTCTACGGGTATCAAGCCAATAGTGTATTGCTTAGAATATGAATTTATATCAAGAACAATGCAGTGTCAACTAACACACATTCGTATATACATGTGGTTGATGAAAACCCCAGACTACACTAAAGTCAGATACATCGGAATAGATTTTAAAGAAAGAGAAATTCCTTAAAGATAATAATCTAAAACATCCCTTTATTGTGCCCTTTAAAATACAGTGAACTAAAATGAATAAGGGAAATAATAGATCTAATGCATTAAGTTGAAAATATGAAATGGCTCTAAAAGTAACAGGAAATATTGATCCTAACTTAGCCCATGAACTCAGGTATTAGAGTAATCTCAAAACTGCAGATGATAGTACACAGACATCGCTTAATACAACCAAGGCACGAGAGGCTAAACAGAAGTTGTCCCTTCAGACTCAGTTCCAAGTATCTTTAAGATTAAATGACCCCTTAATGCTCACTTTGTGCATGGTTTTTAATAAAGTAGTTGCTGGCAACAGAAAGAAGAACAAAGGATGGCAGACAGTCAGGCTCTGCTAAATGTTCTGGCCTGAGTTTTAATGAAAACCACATTTCAACTGAAAAATATGCTTTACGTGGCAGTGTATAAAATCAAATTTATTGCTTTCTGGTTAAACATTGAACTCTAAAGTACAAAAAAAGAAAGCATTCCGATGATGCAGGTAAGTGCAGTCACTGCTATTTCTTATATATTACTCCATTTGAAGAAAAGCTTAGAATTTAGAATGCTGCTTGTATCTCCGATCTCAACATGCCTTTTCAGCATCCTGTGCTCTGAAAGAATTTCATAATTAAGAAACGCATGAAAAGTGTCAAAACATAATAAAGTAAGCTTGTTATGTTTGTACACAAAAGACAGAGCACAGAAAACATTACTTATGCAGTGTTCCTTTTTAAAAACACATTTTCAGCATAAAAATGTATTCAATGAAAACCTTTTCGCTTGCCTGCATTTTCAAGTCTAACTAACAGTTTATTGTTTGTTTTACTCTATTTTCTGTTTGGTGCATTTTGTTTCTTTGGCAAGAGATATTTCACATTTAGAGAAAGCCTCTCATACTGTAGTTAAATGAGCCAAACTGCATCATATCCTTAGGGCACGGAAACAAAGAAGGAAAATGCAGCATTACTCTGTAAACCTGCTGGTTATAAGAACGGCTCAGTCAGATATATCAAGCACAGCAGAGATACATAATCACCGCCGTAGTTTGCCCTCCTTCAGACTTAAGCAACAAAACATGTATTAGAAGTCTTGCATGCAGTGTTGCAGCTGGTTATAAGAAATGCCCTGGCTTGACTAAAATAAAGAGTTTCAAGTGAAAATAAAAGTGAAAATACCTGCTGTACCATCCTGCTCCCTTTATTCTCCATAAATTTAGCAGCTGCTCTAGTCCCAGGCCATACAGCATCTGCCCAAAGCAAGCATCAATTATGGATGAGGGCGTGTGAGCAATGTAACGTGTGCATGAGTGTGGATGATCGGGGTGTTGAAGGAGGGGGAGCTAATGCAAGGCTTACTGACCTCCCTCTCAACATCTGACTGCTCCCAAAACCTAATCCAGATGGGACTCTTTCAGTTTGTTGGGCCTCGCCCCATCAATCACAGCAGGCCACTCCTCTGTCTCCTGCTACCAGTTATAGAGTGCACCACTGAGCAGATGATTACACACAGAAGAAGGAAAAACACAGCTTGACTTCATTAATAGCTGTTTAAAAAACATTAGAAATGCTACTATCTAAGTTGCCGGAAGCTTAACGTTTTTGTTTTAAAATTAAGGCGGCTGTATTCAAAGTTACAAAGCCCCATGAACTTCCAGCGCTTTGGCTTTTTGATAGCTGCGATGTACAGTAACACGTGTGCATTTCTATGTGATTAATTCATCCTACATGTGGTAGAGTTAATACCAATAAGATTTCTATTTTAAAATTGCTGAACTCCACAAGTAAACCATCAATATTGAACTGGCCTGTTTTAGATTAAATGTACTTTATCCTTCCACACAAATGAAATATTGTTTCCTTTTTTGTTTCATTTCATGACATCCCTCTTGCTTAGCAGGGGAAATATTTCAGAAATGCTTCCAAGGTTTAGTTCTGCAAGGCACTTGAAGCAACGTAGTGCTTGACTATTAAAGGAACTTTCCTAGGTGCTCTGGAGGTAGTTTTAAAATGATTAAACTTCCCATTAAATCACATAATAGAGAAAAAACAAAACAAAACAAAACAAAACAAAACAAAACAAAACCAAAAAACCCACCTACAAAGATAACGACGGCCCCAAAGTATACATATCTATTGCCGCTCTGTCGCAGACTACCTACAGACACAAGAATTCAGAAACAGGGCAGACATTTAACATGGGAATTATTATTACAAATGTTCAAATTCTAAGGGGTGGGCAGAACAGCAGATAAACAGCCATCAATTCATCGTTAAACTTATATTCCAACTGAAACTTATTGGATTTCTTTAAAACGGCAGTGTAATTCTTGCAG